AGCTTGTTAAAGGTTGAGAAGCTCAGCTCTATAGTGTTGCCTGATCATTCATTCCACAAATATTTACTGGATTTTCTCTGTATCAGGCCAGGGGTTGGGATGGTCAAGGGCCAAGGTCCCGGACTTTGAGAAGCTCACTGAACCATCAGTCAGTCCCTTGCTTAAAACCTGTCATTGGCTCCCATGCTTTCCAATTGGGGCCATGCTTCATCCTTGTCACCAACTTTACTGTCTAGCACCTGCCCTGGGAACCCAGTTGGACCACTTGCCGCTTCTCACGGTTAGCTGGTGCTTGCCTGCCTACACAGCTCTGAGCCCAGGCCACGCTCTATCCACCTCTGCCTGGAGACACCCAGGAGAAATCCTCTGAGATCCATCATGCAAGTCATCTGCTTGAAATTTTCCCAGATCTTCCCTGCTCAGATGAAAGACAGGAATTCCCGAGGCGCCTAATGGCTCAGTTGGTTAAGCATCTGCCTTTGGCTCAGGTCATGATTGGGATCTAATCCCATATTGGGCTCCATGCTCAGTGGGGAGCCTGCTTCTCCCTCTCCCTCTGCTGCCCCCCCATTCTCGTTCTCTCTCTCTAGTAAATAAAATCTTAAAAAAAAAAAAAAGGAATTCCCACAACTCTTTGTTCTTCCCTCTCTCGTAGCATTTATCCCATTCTGCTCAGTCTTAAAGCCAGCACACCTGCCGTCGCTACCCCAGTAGAGATCATGATTCTTAGTTTGTCTACTCAGTAGCAATAAGCTAATAGCTGGCACATCATCAAAACTCTAAGTAAGAATAATAATAATAAATGTATTGATAAAATCATGGATGAATGCAATAAGTGAGAAATTCATTAATCTCTCTTATTTCCCACTTCAAGGTCGTTTAAATATGAATTTAAGCAGAATACTAATGGGCTGCCTCTCAAGCCCTAAAGAGAAACAATCTCTAAATTAAATAATATTTTGTGTTTTCTGTATTCAAATAATAATCAAAGACTGAACATTTTGAAGATGAATTTTGTGCACAGCCAACTACCTTTCTTTAGTTGGGCATTTAACTTCACAAAATGCAACATAAACTTCGGAAACACTTCAGATTTGTATTATAATCAATTAAGGAACTGGGAAAGGAAAGGGACAGATGAAGAGAAAGATAGGAAGTAGACCTAGAAATATGGCAAGGGGGACGGATCTATACGACATAACCAGCTGCTCTAAAAGTAAAAATACAACACTCTGGGTCTGTTTTTTAAGAGGATTAAAGACTAGCTAGAATGCCTGTTTCAATCCCCTGCAAACTTTGGAAATTCTACCTTTTCAATATATAATCTTATCTTCATTTGAAGAAAAACTGCAGGTCTGGAGTTGGGATGTCATGAGGGAGAGGAGGAGCCCACTTTCAAGTAGAACCTTCCCCGTTTGGCAGTCTACTGGGACGCAGTGGCTTGAGATTTTGATAGGCATGTTGCGTTTTCGCAATTACAGAGCTGGTCTCAGTCAAGGCGTTGCATCTGAGCACACCCGAACAGGGATGTTTGGTCAAACAGACCCTAAACCTCCCGACCACCGTGGGCTCTCTAGACTACGCGGGTGCTTCGGTGACATACCGCACAGAACTGAGGTGACTGACCATCCTGCGCATCTCCAGGGCCATGCTGGCACCTGCAGGGGCGCGCGGATTGTCCGTAAGTCCCGGGCAGGGTTGGGTGGAAATTCGGCGCAAATCCCACGGGAGTTACACCCTTCTCCCAGTCTTCTGGCCAGAGAGGAGGAAGAGGGTCCCTGTCCTTGCGCCTGGGACACGCTCTGGGGCCCTTGCTGGCACTGACCCCCACTCCTCCGGTGGTTCTTGAATCTGGGGGCTTTCGGTTCCCCAGGCAATGCACCCGCGGGGGCTCCCGGTCCGGAACGCGCAGGGGACCTGGGGCGTGGGGAGAGCCCACTGACCTGGGTGCGGGGCTCCTCTCCGGGCGGCTCAGGTGCGCGGGACGCTCCCGTGTCCCTCCCACCTCCGAACATGAGAGCCGGGAAACGAGCTGCAGGCCACTGACCCACCGACCAACTGACCGACCAACCGGCGGACTGAGCGACAGCGGCCGGGTCTGGAGCCCACGTGACGGAGGCGGGACCCACGGGAGGCTCGTCCCGGAGCCCAAGCTTGCTCCCGCCCTCCTTCTCCTGGGACCGCCCCTCAACTCCCCTTCCCTCTCGGGCAGCGAGGCGACCCGCAGGGACCCGTCTGCCACCGGTTCCCTCTTCTCCGAGACCGGCCTCGTCAACCCCGCCCCTTCGAACCTGCCTTCGCCCCGTCCGCCCAGCCGCGGCCCCACCCCCTGGAACGCGTTCAGAGCCCACAAGCCGCGCCTCCCGGAGACCACGCCCCCAGGGAGCCCCGCCCCGCTCCTGTCACCTCCCCGCCCTGCACCCTTCCGGCCCCGGGGAGACCGACGGGCGGGTCCCGGCGCTAGTGCTGCCAGTCCCCTGGGCTTCTCCAGCCTTTCAGCATCATTTCCCCGGCCGTAGGAAATGAAAACGAGGAAGCAGAAAAGCAATTTGTATCGAGAATTGCAAAGAGAGAGAAGCCACAGAAAGACCGATTAGAGGCACATTCAAGAGCAGCAACCCATTGGGTGTTCGGACTCCCCGGACCCGTGCGATGCAGTCCAAATTGAGGCTGGCTCGGTCTCTGAACAACCCGTTTGGAAGGCTCGGAGTCACCGTAGAGTCTGGCCGCGCTTGAACCCCGCGACCTGGGGTGGAGGTCCCCCTAGTGGTCAGCCCCAACCAAAGACACTTGCTCTGGGTCTTGTGAACAGCTAAGGACAAGAAGCACTTCCCTATGCTCAGCCCCAAGGCGGGGTTCCACAGACGGGAGAAAAGCTTTGGCACCTCAAACCACAGGAATGGATTCTAGAATCAGGGCAGGACTGGGCCCTGGAGACTCAGTCCAACACCTTCCCCCAGCGTGTGGCCTGAATCCCCTTTGGCTGTAGTGCTAGGTTGTTGCCTTGCCTGGGCCTCCCGGGACTGGTTGCTCAGTTCAGCTGATTAAAATCCCTGTGGGCTGCAGATGGCATCAACACCGCAGACTCTGGCACAGTCCCCAGCTCTGGCAGGAGTCGCGACAGCCTGGGCCTCAGTTTTAATGTACATTTCCACAGGCTGGACAAACTCCACAAGACACGTCTTTTTTTCAAATTACCTTGGTGGTCTGAAATTACCAGTGTGCCCGGAAGACTTTTACATGTGAACAGAACTTAAGCCACCCCGACAAATATGAGACTCTGGTCACTGCAGGAACGTGGCCAGAAGCAGACCAAAGGCAAAGCCAGCAGAGGAAGGCTGGGGCCCATGAGAGTTGTGTTACAGCAGGACACCCTGCAGTTCTCTTTCACTTCCTTAAAATAGCAGCAGAGGCTTTTGCAGACCTAGGCGCTACTCAGTTCACATGAGTTCATGGGTGTTTCCAAATCCCACATGTTACTGCCCCGGTGGACACAGTGTCCTAACCTCAGCCCCTAGAAAATGCAAATCTGTTCTTAGAACTATACAACTACTTTTTTTTAAATTACCTTAAAAAATGGTGTAAGTCACTGGCTCTCAAGTTTATTCACACTTTGGAACCATTTTGGGGGAGGAGGTTTAAAATATCTGCTGTCTGGGTCCTGCCTCCCGAGGTTGTGATTTTTTTTTTTTAATGTTTTATTTATTTATTCATGAGAGTCAGAGAGACAGAGAGGAAGAGGCAGAGAGAGAAGCAGGCTTCCCGCCGAGCAGGGAGCCCGATGCGGGACTTGATCCCAGGACCCCGGAATCACGACCTGAGCCGAAGGCAGACGCTTAACCGAAGGCAGACGCTTAACCATCTGAGCCACCCAGGTGCCCCCGAGGTTGTGATTTAAAGATCTGGGAGTATGGCCTGGTATTAAGATCTTTAAAAGCTCCTCAGGTGATTCTTCTGCACAGTCGAGTTTACGAACCACTGTCACAGGTCATAGGGACTTTCATCCTAAGATCGGACAAGAGACCCCAGAGCTGAACAGTTCCCAGAAAGAAGCCGGAGACCATGTTTGTGGGCCCACATGCTGTCCTGCCCTGGCTCCCCGGAAACAAAGTGGCCCATTTAACAGGGATACGATGTCTTGACCTAAAAGAGTGATTCTAGCTGCAGGAATTTAAAGCACCCGGGTGGGTTGTCAGTGGCAGGGGCACCCTTTGGAACTGTCAAATCCAAGTGTATCACAGATGAAAGGCAACCCTCCTCTTGGCCTCTAAAGGAACTCTGTGTGCAGGACCCACACACAATTCCACTCACCGATAATCCCACTCTACCCTCCTCCTGAAGCAGTCCCCTGCCTTATTCCTGCGAAATAGGTAATGGTATTTTACCCCCGGGGGAAATGATGTCTGTAAACCCATGGAGTGGGGCCCATCACCAGGATTATGTACCCATACCTGCCTCCTTCCACGAAGATCGGGGCTGTGTAGCTATTAGAACTGTGGGTAATTGTGCTGTATACATGGGGTGAGTGATTCCATTCTGCCAAAGCTCTACTCAAACGCTCTGGGGCAAGAATGTCTCTTCATCGCCCGCGGTCCCACCCTGAGCTTGGCAGGGTTGGCAAAACAGCTGCAAGCCTGCAAAACAAACCCTCTCATGTGACTAACCTGGAAAGGCGGATTTTAATCAGCACATGACACAGACTGGCACCACAGCCTGTGCTGGTGACCCACACTGGGCTGAACTGGACAAACACGTGGGAAAGAGTTGAAGAAGCCCCTCTGCACAAGCACAGCTGTCCCCTGTCACCTGTGCCACTTGGCAGGCCTGCGGTGACAGGGAGTCACTGGCCCGCTACCTGGCTTCCAGCCAGATTCCGGAAGCTTTCCCTCCCCAGGGCCTCAGTGTGCTGGGGAGCTTCACAGCGAGTCCAATCTCAGGCAACACTTCCTGTAAGCCTGTCTGCTGAGGGTGCGTACGCAAATCTAACCTGATGAGGCTTATTTGCTTAGTGTCGGTTTTATTGTGTTTCCAGCAAGGAAAGAGACACAGGGGAAGGTAAGGCAAGATGAGGCTGCAGGTGGGGTCCTCACCCTTAGGCTGTAGGCTGGTTTTCTGGAGGAAGTAGCTTTTGAAGGGCTTATGGGAAGGTCTTGTGCATACATGAAAACCGGCTGCAGGGGACAGACCATGATTTTTTAGGATGAGATGCTGAACGTATTGCTTATAAAAGGCTGGGTGAACAAACATACGTATTTGATGCTCCCCTGGGCAACGGAAAGACTATGGGATTTGCGGTATTTTCTAGACCTATTTTCATTTTGAGGCTGTGTTCCTCTGAATGGCTCACCTAAACTTCTCTGATCTCTAAAATGGCAATTATAAAGATCTCTTCTGTATGTCTCACAGGGTGGCATGAGAATTAAATGATGTACATAGGAGCAAACACTTTGTAACAGCCAAGTGGTGTTTAAATGTGAGTGGTTTTATTTTCCTCTTGTATCTCCTCAGCTTGGTGAAGGGGCAGAGCTGGGGGACACAGAGATTAAACATCAATAAGAAATTGTACTTTAGTTGGGCAGTGAAAAACGAGAATACCAATAGGCACTTAAGAAAGAGGAAAGAGCATCAGGACAGGTCAGGACAGGAGCCAGGAGTATTAGGAGGTGGGCTACATTTCTAATTGTTGGCAGGGGAGGGGGATGGGGAGGTGGGGGTAAAGGAAAGGCAGGCCGTAAGCTGGATCAGCATGTGGAAGGCCTTGAGAGCCAGGAGGTTTGGATGGGTGATGAAGTTGAAAATTTCCGAATGACAGACTCTCATCTACGCTCTTGGAAGATAACTCAGGCCGTAACATCCAGGGGAAAGATGCATATGCAAGCCCAGTTCTAGTCCCTATCCCTGTATGTGATCAGAGGGATACTGTATTGCAAAGGGCCTGTGGCCTCAGTGTCCCGGGGAGCAGCATCCACAGCCTTAGTGCTCTCCCTCCTTGCTGTACTGCATTACTCCAGAGGCTGCTTTCTTTTTGTCTGGAGTTTGTAAATGATCTGGTTTCCATCATTCCAGGCATACAGCTGCTTATCTCTGGGGTTGTAATGGATCATGGAATGACTTCTTGGCCGCCTGGGCAAGAACAGTTTGGGCAGATCGTCCTCACTGATATTGCCCAGCGGATCATAGACACAGGTGATGCGGTGAGGGCCATGGCCGCCAGAACTATAGACCACATAGAGAACCCCGCACAAAACGAAGGAGGCTTCAGCATCCTGGCTCCTGCATGGAGTGTCCCATGAGTATTCCACTCCCAGTGTGCCAGGTTCAATTTTTGTGAGAACCAAATGGCCATAGACGCCTGGCCCTGAGTGGATGGCCCAGAGCCCATGCTCATCCACAGCCAGGTCAATGTATGTCGACGGGGAGTGCTGGTAGACCAGTGCTCGGCCTGCCCCTCCTGGGAGCAGCATCCGATCTTCCACAGCCCTCTTCTGTAGATTATATTTGATGATCTCATTCAGAGTCCCTTGGTTGTGAAAAAACAGAAAACCTTTGTGGATCACTTGGCCTGTTCCCTGCCAGGAATGTGTTAGGATTAGCTTCCGCGGGGCTGGCTTGGTGCTATCCTCCATGAATGCCCGCATGTTTGCAAATTCCCAAACAGTTTTGTTTCTGGATCCAACTAGGAAATAAACCTTTTGGGAATTGCTGACAGCATCTTTCATCCAAGAGCCATGTGTGTCCATAGTCTTCTTCACTATTTTCAGAGACTTTACACCCATCAACATGTTGTCACAGCCTGGCCAAACAGGAGAAAAAGGAGAGGTACTTTATAGACATGAGATGGCTGCTTTTCTCACAGATTACTTTTGTATTTTCTGTTCGTTGAAGCATAGTTGACATACAATGTTACATTAGTTTCACATGTACAACACAGTGATTCAACTTCTCTCTATGTTATGCTTGCTCACAAGGGTAGCTATCGTCTGTCACCATACAATGCTATGACAATGCCATTGATTATATTCCCTATACTGTGCCTTTTACCCATGTTTATTCATTCTGTAACTGGAAGCCTGTACCTCCCACTCGCCTTCACCCATTTTGCTCCCCCAAAACAACGACTAGTTTGTTCTCTGTATTAATGAGTCTGTTTCTGCCTTTTTTTTTTTTTTTTTTTGGATTCTGCATATAAGCGAAATCATATGGCATCTTCCTCTGTCTCACTTATTTCACTTAGCATAATACCCTCTAGGTCTATCCATGTTGTCACAAATGGCAAGATTGCATTCTTTATGGCAGAGTAATATTCCATATACACCACACCTTCCTTATCCACTCATCTACTGATGGACACTTAAGTTGCCTATATGTTTTGGCTGTTGTAAATAATGGTGCAATAAACAAAGGGATGCATGTATCGTTTCAAATTTAGTATTTTTGTTTTCTTTGGATTAAATACCCAGTAGTGGAACTACTGGATCATCAGGTAGTTCTATTTTTGATTTTTTGAGGAACCTCCTTACTGTTTTCCACAGTGGCTACAACAATTTACATTCCCACTCATAGTAGACAGGGTTTCCTTTTGACTCCACATCCTTGCCAACAGTTGTTCTTTCTTTCTTTTTGATACTAGCCATTCTGACAGGTATGAGGTGATATCTCTTTGTGGTTTTGATTTGCATTTCCCTGATAAGTGATGTTGAGCATCTTTTCCTGTGTCTGTTCTCACAGATTACTTTTTTTCCTTCAGTGTCTGGAATAAAGTTATCACACATAGATCAATCACAATTTATGGTATGGTTTAAAAAATCAAAGAATTAAATGAATAAATGGATTTCTGTTAAGGGAGCTGCTGTCCAATTATAAGAGTCAATGTTTTATTCAAGTCAGGATATAAACAGCTATTTGCTGGGTCAGAGACCCTGTTCACCTTCTTGGCGTTGACACAGTGAGAATCATTTAGGGGTGAAGCTGCCTGTTTCAATTCCATTTGCCAAGATTTTACCAAGTATTTACTGTGGACTTAGCTTACAATGCTCCCAGAACCATGCTAACTAAGTATTAAGGATAAAAAAGATAATATCAACCCTAACCTTGAGGAGATCACCTTCTAGTTAAGGATTCTGGCCCTTAATCCTATTAGAACATTATAAGAACTCCACTCATCCATTCATTTATTTATTCATGAATGCATGCATGTAGTCAGCAGACACTGGATACCTACAAAGGCGAGATACTGAGCTAGGTGTTATAAACTGGGGTGCAAAGGTTTTGAGGTGCAGTGATAAACTAGGAATGGTTCTTGCTTTATAGGTACCGGACTCACTACAATAGAAAGCTTAAAGTGGATTTTTTAGAAAAGGACAGAGAATGGTGATGTCATTTGAGGAAGGGGATAATCTACATTTGAATTGACCCTTAATGGGTACCATTCTGAGATGGTTGGGAATAACATTCTTCACAATTCACAAAACCACATTCACGACTTGTGTTAGTAAAGTAGTGCAGAATTTAAACCAATATAAACTAAATATTTGCTGTTGCCTCAAACTAGATGCATAAAACAAAGCAGTGGATTGAAACCAGCTCTGTGCCTGGAGCACTGAGGGTGGGGTTAAGGAATATGGATTCTATTCTATAGGCAGGGAGGGAGCTACTGAAGTTTTTGAGCAAGAGTGAATCATGGTCGAGAGTAAGCTGGCAGTTGTGTGTATGATGGAATACATGGGAGAGAAACCAAAATCAGGGAAACCAATTAGGAGAGTATTTCTATAATCCAAACAGGATCATAAGGGTCTAAAACAGGTGGAGGAAGATGAAGTGGAAAAAAAAGGGATTTACAATTCTCCAGCTCTTTTACCTTCATGCAAAAGCCCTCCCTTCTTTGTATCTCATGCTATCAACTCCTTTAGTCTAAATCACTGATAGCTCTCTGGGCCACTGCCCCATATGCATCAAGAGCCTGAGCACCTCAACCTCTTCAACTCCACAGCACCTTGCTTTCAACCTCCTCTAGCAACCCCCTCCCATGACCATACTCTGGATCCCCGCCCCCTATTAGAAATGTAAAACTCTACTATCCTAGCCTCTGTGATAATTCCTTACCCTTCCATTTCTCGCTTCTTTGTTCACACGGACTCAGCTCTTCCATTTCCTCATGCCCTCCAGGCCCTTAACCTCTGCTTTCTCTCGGTCTCTGAACTTCCTTTCCTGTCTAGCCGACACCACTGTAATACCTCTCTCACCAAGACCCTCACCCACCAGCCCCTTGTTATTCCACAACACCCACTCTACAAAAATCCCCAGTCCTGGATGAGTTCAAACATCCGGCTCTGTCCCAGAGAGTTGTGTGGAGAAAATCTCACAAACGTGCCATTACATATAAGGGGTCTCCAACATCAGCTGAGCCCTAAGTACCATCCTGCTCTCTCCATAGTTAGCCCCCAATCTGCTCCCGCTCAACCATATACATACACACTACTCCATCAGTCCTTTCACTAACAGTAGATTAACTCCTTTGAAAAAATAAACACCACTAGCCATGAAGTCCCTCCACTTCCTGTCCCTCATATAAATTTTCTTAAGGTGTTCCTACCTGGCTACCCTCCCACACATCTTAGAAGAGGCCACATCATTCCTCCTGTCCAAGACTAATACATTCACTTGTGCTCTGATCTCACCCCTTCCTGGCTTCTTCTTGACTTCCTAGATGAATTGCCACCTTTTTGTTATCTCTAATTTCTCCTTTGCTGCTAGTTCCTTAGCTTGTAAACACCTTGCCTACATTCAAAAATAATTCTCCCTCGATTAGGCACCACTCTCTAGTTACTTCACTCTATCATTTTATATAGGTTCTCCTCCAGAATAGTCTATGCTCTCTGGGTCTACTTCTTCACCTCTCATCTTTCACTTCACAATAACTTCACAGAAACTACCCTTCATCACGTTATCAGGGACTTCGTAACTGAAAACTCAGAACTTTATGTTCATATCTTACTTCATCTTCCCACAGCATGACAGTATTGACCAATTCCTCTTTCTTGGAGATTTCGTTCCCCTTGATCTTTGGTTCACTACTGTCCCTGGGCGTGCCTCCTACTCGTTTCTTCTTGGCTTATGGCAGAGACAGTGTCTGTGTTCACCAAATGCCATTCCATTTTCCTCTTCCCTACTTATGTATTTGCAGCTTTCTTTGTAGTTAGGCTGCACCCACTGCACTGACCTGTCTTCTGTCCAATGGGATGTGGACAGAAGTGGTGGAAGCCATTTCCATCTGGCCCTTAAATAAGCTATCTTCCAGATGACCTTAGTGTCTTGGAATTCTTGTGGCGTCCAAGTTAAAGAGGGATAGGGGCCGGGATGAAATTAGTTCTAATAGTCATTTCAGGAAAGGTGGGTCATCAGTTTTAACGGTGAACTTGTTGTGGGGACTGCCCCGTTAGACAGTCTGTTGTGAGGTGCAGTGTCATGGAGGTGGGGGAGGAATGGCTTACTAGAAGCATGAGGAATCCTGTGGGTATCTCTCAAATCCTGCCAAGGTCTGTATGGAAACGGTATGGGCCTCCCTCACTGACCGCTGGAGTGTGTGGTGGTGGGATGCCAAGTGTATAACACTCTCTCCAGGAGCACTGAGCTCTCTGCGGGTTTCCCTCAAGTCTTTGCAATGGCTTTGATATAAGAAGCTGGCTGGGCCAGTGGGTTGTCATTTTCTTCTTAATAAATGCCTGGGTTCTCCAGGCCAACTGGGGACTCTCTAGAGTCAGAGGACATGAAACAGGATGAAGGGAGAGAAACTGGACACAAGGAGGAGAGGTGCACAGACAGAGATGTCCCAGAGGTTCTGAGGTAAACAAGCATTGTAGCAAACTGCTTGTTACCGCCAGCTATTTGGAGAGCATTTCTATCACAGTCCCCTAATCAATTCATCATCCACTCTCATCATACCTTCTCTTCCCTCCTCAAGCCTCCATCATACCCTCCTCACTCCTGTATGGAGATCTTGCCTCTTACTCACTGAGAAAACAGAAGCCAGCTGAGAAGTGCATCATCTCCTGCCTGCCTTGCTGTACCAGTTTCCCTCAGGGTGGCCACACTTGCGTCCTGGACTCCCATGCTGCGTTCCCCACAGTAGCAGCCGTAGTGATCTTTTAAGAATGTCAGTCAGATTATGTCACAGGTCTGCTCAAAACTCACCCGTGACTCCCCATCTCACTCAGAGTAGAGTTCAAGTCTTTACCTCCCAGGCCATGTGAGCTGTCCCCGCACTGCCCCTCTGGTCTCTCCTACAATACTCCACCTGCTGCATTTCATTCAGTCACACTGGCCTGCCTGCTCTTCCGCACATTGTGCCAAGCACCCTCCTGCCTCAGCAGTTTGTCACGTTTTTGATCCCTCTGCTTGGGAACCTTCTTTCCAAGATATGTACATGGGTGGTGTCCTCCCTCACTTCCATTAGGCCCGTTCTGATATTCCCTCATCATTAAGGCCTTTTTTGACCACCCTGTAAAAAATGGCAACTCTCTTCTCCAGCTCCCTATAACCCCCTAACCCTAGTTCATTTTTCTCCAAAGTGCTTATTATCTGCTCTCTGACATATTATAAATGCCTCTGTTAACATATTTATTGCTTGATTCCCCTCAATGGAATGTAAATGCCATGAGAGCATGAGTTTTTCTTATTTGTTTCATTCACTGCTGTATGTCTTGCCCCTAAGATAGCAATTGGCACATAGTAGGCCAGTATTTACTAAATGAATGAATGAATGAGTTTTCTAACCACCAATTGTATCTGAACCCATATTCTCTGCCTTCCCTCTTGT